TCTAAACTTGTGCAAAGAAGAGGAGTATGGCTCTGTCTCAATCTTCCTTTTCTCAAAAAAAGCCATCACTTGCCCTGTTGTCGAGTCAGAGAGCCAGGAGATAAACTGGGCACCTACCCGCCACTCATCTCACGTCCTGCTGTCAGTAGCAAGTGCTTATATGTCTCCAATCTCCCCCTGCCTCTACTCTGGTTTCAACCTCTGTTGTGTATCGTGTACTACTGCAGCAACCACTACCTGGGCTCTCTGTTTCTACTCTGGCCCCCCTATAATTGATTCTCTACAGTGCAACTGAAGTAATTTTATTTAGATAAAATCCAGGACAGGCTATTACCTTAGAAGTTTGTAGATACTGTCACACTGTTTTCTGGTCTGAGTTCCTCTAGAGGTCTGAGATGATTTGGGATAGTACCTGACCAAAAAAATGTTTGCTTATTCTCTTATTATGCCTAGGAGATATTCTTTATCATCTGTTTATTGAAGTTTCATGCCTTCCAACCTGCATACTGAGGCCTTGATCTACGTTAGAAATTGTTTTCAATTTTCTCTCTAGGCATCTTTTTCAGTGCCCTTGCTCTGCTTTCTTTAGTCTGCTTCACTTGGCATCAGCTTCTTTGTAATCAGTTTATTATACCCTGACTTTGTGATTGGTGATTTCTTCAAGCTTAGCCTTTGTCACTGTTTTTGTTTTTTCAGTTCTGTGTATGTTGTAAGTATATATGTGTTAATTTGCCTTTCCTTAGGTAAAGTTTTAAATCCTTCTTCCATTTCTTTCTTGAGAACTACCAAGCCCCTTTTTATCTCCGACTGTCGTTCCTGAACTCCCATAACTCTTTGAGCACCTTTCCAAAGAAGGACCATGCTGGCCCCCAGGCTGGAGGGCTGGGTGGAGGATATTTTATGTGGCTGGTCTCCAGAGATTCCCTGTCCGCTCTCCCTTCTGTTACTCTGCAGGTCTGCGGTCTGTGTCTCTCCCAGGGACGGTCCTTCTCTCCAATGGGACATGCTCTTTGGGATGCTGATGCACACATCACATGCTTTCAAGGTTCTTCCTGTCCCAGCGACTTCCCAACAGCTGCATGTGCTCATCACTGCTCTTACGTGGGGGTACAGACTTTTATTTTAGAATGCCTTACTTGCTATTAATCATTGCGTGTTGGTTTTGCTGAGTTAGAGGAAGGGGAATATTCTGCCATCTTTAAATAAGAGTTTCTGTAACCAACCATGTTTAAGGAAATTTTTTGACTGGATAGGAATGGCTTGTGTTCACACAGTATGAACTAAAGCCAAACTTTGTAATGATCTGGCTAACTTGGTCAACATCTACACACAAGATATATTTGTGTTTAAAAATATATGCTAATCATATTAGCCAAATCTCCTTTTCATTTTGTGCTATATGTGCCTGGAAATAACCTCGTATGGAGGGCATCTTTCTCTCAGTGCTCAGGTGCGGACCTAGCCATGTCTGCCTGGTTTCCGCTGAGACTTAGCTGCTCTACATTCTTCATTTTTGATGTGCAGTGTGAGTAAAGGAATTGTGTGTTTCTGAACACTACCACCATTTGAAAAGAACACACACCAGCATGTTTTGCGGGGACGGCTTTAAAGTGTGTACTGCTATTTCCTTACCTAAGCCCATGCCCTGTGTCCTAACTAGGTCCTGACTGTGGTGTATGTCTGAATTTTTCGCCTCTCACATTGCATGGAACAGAGCGGAGGCTCAGCGTGTGTATCACTATTGCTAATGAGGAAGCAAAAGCAGAATCGAGCTAACATGTTTCTTCTGTCATATTTTTTATTTTGAAATGTGTAGAGTCGTTGAAAAGCCTAAGTCCTGAAAAATCAACCAACATAAATAAATAACTAGGCATATTTTATCTTAACATATTTTTGGTATTTTTAAATGGACACTGTTTGTTGAAGAATCGGGAAGACCAAAATCAAGTCCTAATTTTAAACCAAAGGTCCTTCCAACTCAAGCAGACACATACAACTATAAAAATAAAAAAGAAGAAACTATTTGTAACTTATATAACACATGCACATTGGCAGTTCATGACATATTTAAACTTTGTAAATATTCATGGAAAAGGACTTAATGGCACTTTGTAAAACTTTAATTCACTCATTTTAAGAGCTTCAACTTAAAGGCCCATGTGAACTAACTTGGGTCCTTTAAACTGTAAGAAAAATGAAGAAAGTAAAAGGCAAAATGTGGATTGGATTTAGGCATAGAGCTAGAATTTAAGTGGCTCTCAATCCAGAAGGAGGCACACGTTGTTAGGACTGGCCTCCCAATACCCAGGGACTGTACACCTTTCTGACTGCTTACTTAAGCCATCATGACAACAGTTAAAAACAGAAAATATACTGGTTTCCTCATTGCTTAATTTTTTAGGCGTATGCTCTTCATTTTCTGTTGACCCTCATTTTTTTAGTTATTCTGTTCATTACACCATCAGGTTGTTCACTCCCTCTGAAGCCACAGGTGAGGTAATTCACTAAGTGCTTCAGCACCAGGATAGCATTATGTTTAGAACTTCAGAAATGTCCTGCTTTGGATAATATGAACTGTATTTTAGATATTAAGCTATTTACAGTTATCATCTACACAGCTGAACTTTATCTTTAACTCTACAGAAATTTTTCATTCTCTTATAAGAAAGATCACTATTAAGAAAAAAAAGTATGACTCGCAAGTATCATGTTTTTTTTATGTTATTTTTTCATGCAGTGTAGCTTCCAAATTAATTTGGCAGAGTATTTGGGAAACAGTCTAGGAATTTAAAGGGAAAAATGAAATCATAGTAAGATGTCTCAAAATAGCCTGAACTGAAGATTAGTATTTAATTGAGAACTTTCTGACTATGCCATGGTTTTGAAATAAACCAGAACTTCTCAAAAATTGCTTTTCCAGACATTTCAAGCATGTGGCAAATTTCATTTTGCTCCTGTTGCTGAATTAATCCATTAGACATTTAGACAAATAAAGCCTAAAACTTATCTCCACTGAGTAAACAAAATCAAATAAATAAGCCTCCAGACATTACTAAATCTGACAGAACATTCAGGATGTTTGAGATCAGATCACACATTTTTAATAATTGTGTCCAGAAAAACTAGGCCTGACAAAATATCAAGATAGAAAAGCTTAAGTACAGATAGAGAAGTTGAGACAAGTCAGTAATCTGGAATGTTTTGGTTGACGTTAAGGACTTTTCTCAACCTGGACTATTTCTATGAAATACTGGTTTGGGAAGTATTTCAATCTCACTCTGCTTTATTAATTCAAAAGGTATTTACTAAGTATCTGCTGCACGTTAGCCACTGTTTAGATGCCTCAGATACATTAATGAATAAAACAGGTTTTTGCCCTAATAGAGTTTACATTCCAGCTGATGGGCAGTAAAAGCAATAAAAAAAAGAAGCAAGTGTATCGCAAGGTGGTAAGTGCTACAGAATAATTGACTCTAGTAAGTCTAGTCAGTATTAATCTAGTAGATACATACAGTTCTTTCTTTTTAACAGTAATCTATGTAAATTATATACATTGTATGGTAATCTAGATCTAATCTAGGACATTTTACATAGGACAGTAAATGCTATATAGTATAGTATATCTTCTATAGAAAAAAATTAGTTATCAGGAACTTACACATCAGATTGGTAGTCATACTAAAGACATCGAGTTTTATTATCCATAGAAAACATGAGATTAAAAATAGCATTAATACAGTCTCCCTATTTATGTCTGACTTGTGATGGGTACTAATTCAAGAGACAAACCATTCACAAAATCATTCTAAGTGCACAGCTGATGTGGCTTTTATATGCGACTGAACATAAAGTTGCTGATCTGTTGAGTTATATGTTCAATCTTTGGGTTACCCCTACAGTTCTTATTTGAGAAGAGTTTCAATATAGACCATTTTAACAAAATCTTTAGAAGCCACGGTCAGAGATATATTTAACAAATTACACAGAGCACTCACATTTTATGAATTGAAGCTACATGCAGGCTCCCCAAACTACAATTCTCATGTGGGTTTTAGGGTGCTGGACTGGCTTTCTGCAGGGTACCATTTCCATGGGCTGGGTAGATCACATCTCTGCCTCTGACATTGGCTGCTAACATCAATTTGAAAGACTCAGATCTAACTTTGTACATAATTTTATTATAACAAATAAACCTAACTCCCCATGTCTCTGAGTAGTACCATTTCTGTGAATAAAACAAAAATATTTTCCATTTTCCTGTTGTCCTCCTGCCATTTGACAGCTTATTACAGAGTTGTTTCTAAGCTCTAAATATGGGTTTAATACGTACAGTATCAGAGAAATGGCCAAAAAGGGTAAGAATCTGGCGGTGGAAAAGTAATTTAAACAATTGCACAGTAAATGTGTCACAGATTTCAGCTACTTGGGTTGGAGTCTACTGATGTAGTATCCTCAGAGCCCCAGTGTAGCCCTGATGTATAAAATGTGTATCAGGATGTGGTTGGAAACGTTGGCTGAAGGCAAGATTGTAACCAACCAGGCTTTAAGCTCTGAAATAAATGCAGTCATGGACTGAGTTCACACTCTTTGAAGATGCCATTCATAACAATACCAGGCAGCTCTCTTCCCTGTTACCTGGGCTCAGGTTCTCATGCCTTGAATGAGATTAGGAGAGAGAGAAAAATGACCAGTATTTCCTGGGCATTTACACGTATATACTTTGAGGGGCTTTGATGGGGATAGTGTAGTATCATCTGGATGGAGACATGGAGTGGTTTATCCTCTGATTATATTACATATTTTAAACTACTTTTTTTTTTCCCCCAATTTTTCATAGTATCTCATTCTCTTCTCCACTTACATCAAGAGTTGAAAAATAGGCTTGCTAATAAGGCTTCTTTTGGACATGGCACTGGATTAAAGGTCACCATCCCCCAAGGGCGGTGGAGGGACACCCGCCCGTGGGTGGCCCTGTGCACGAGGGCAGACAGCTAGCTCACCTTGGCAAGCTCCAGTTCGGATGTTGGGGATGAAGCCCCGCCGGCAGGGCTGAGGCTGGGCCGGACACATCTCGCAGGGGTGGCCCCAGGCCCGTCCAACGGTGGCGCAGCACAGTGTCTTCGTGCAGACGATGCCTGTCAGCTGCCCCTGGCACATCTGGTTGTTGACCTGAGTGAAACAAGGGCCGGTCCTGTAATCTGGAACATGAAAGAAGATGGGAAGACAGGATTTATGATCGTGTGCCAATCTTACACCAATACTGAAAATACATAAAACAGAGGCTTTTTCTTGTGACTTCAGTGTTTTGAAGACAGAAGGCCAGAAAGTTTCATTCTGAAAATTCATAATTTCTCAGTCACAAAAGTGCATTAGGAGATTTCAACGTGTCCTACACCAGACTTGGTAAATGGGTGGCTCAAGGACTGTGTCTGGGACACAGATGTTTTCTCTTGGCCCACAGAATGATTTAAAAGAAATTAGTAGCCAACATTTTTACATTGGGAAATTTCACATGAAATGTGTATTTCTGATTTTTCTTGAAAAGCTGGCATTCTGGACACGCGAGGCCCGCCACGCTCCATGGAGGTGGTGGAGTGAGGTAGTCTCCTCAGGCCACCACTGCGCTGGCCTCACCTACTCCCAGCATCCTGCGATTCCCTCCCTAGCCCTGCTGGCGCCTGCTGGAATGACCCCACGTCACCCGCAGAGACGCTCTTGCCTGCCTATGTAGAACAGGCGTTCAGAAAATCAAAACAGAACCGATGAAGATACATCTTCCACATCACAGATATACTTGGGGTAGTCTAGGCGGTCCAAAAACATTTCATACTAACAATCTGATTTCTATTTCCGTATTGTCTATTTAATGCTGCATGTAGCTCAGGTAGGAAGGCAGTACTAAGATGCATATAGTCAAAGGTTCTTTTCAGGTAAGTTAATATAAGATCTCTGTTCTCTAGAAGATGGTCATACCATCGTCCAGCTCTGTTATGATGATGATAAAAATGTTAGCAGATGTATGTCACCTATGATCTGTAGGCAGGCCCTTCTGTGGATAGTAAGGACAGTCTACTGACACCGCTGCATCTCAAAGTGGGGTCCATGGGCCAGCAACATATGCATCACTTGGGAGCTACATAGAAATGCAAACTCAGGCACCGCCCTGGATGGGAACTGGAATCAGTGTTTTAACAAGATGTTTAGGAGGTCCGTATGCACTTCCAAGTTTAAGAAGGACTGATCTAGGTAACAGGCAACTTACGAGTTACGCATTTCTCCTCTATTCTTCTTCCTGCTATAATTTACTTCGGTGAACCTTTTGGACGATCAGTATACATCCTTTTAAGCAGACCTGAACCATTAACTACAGTTTTTCATTCTGAATGCTACTATTGCTGCTGTGAGAGACACAGGAAATTAGAAACGTTGGTTTCCAGAAGACTGACCAATTCAATGGTTCACATTTGTTAGAAAATAACAACAGAAATATGCAAAAAAGTTTCCCTTGCTCCTTCACAGAGATTGTATGCATATAGTTTATTAACTCTGGGGAATGTATGATGATAGTCGTGATTTCCTGGTAAGGCCTAATGCAAATGACGTGATTCCATTTGAAGGGGAAAGTTCATTTCACATCTTTGTAAGAACAAAACTGTATCACATTCAAAGGAAGAAGATTCAATAATGTTGATATGATTTTTATGAAAAACTGTGACTGGGAAAAGTAAAACTTGGATATAATTTAATATTCCAAATGCTCAGCTTTGGAGATTAGACAAAACACAGCTAAAAGCCACATAAAACTTCCACTCCTTAAATTAAGAAGGAGAATTTCTCATACAGAGGAAAAGGACATTTTCAAAGTCCAATACAAAGAAACGAAATCTAAGTAGGTAACTTTTAGCAAGCTGGCTAAAAAGTAACATTCTGTTACTCTGCAGCTGAACTTCAACAAAAATAGCTCATTTTAATCCCTTACATAAGAACAACAGATGTGCTGGCTGCAAATCATGTTTTTTGAAAAAGACAATCTTTGCAGAATACATGTAGACATGTCAACCTAGTAAATAAGCTTGCTTCCCACACCACACACTGCCCTGTCATGAATTTTTTAAACCTTGCCTATTGTCTTTCAGACAACACATTATTTTGCCATTTTGAGTGACTATCAGACTCACAATAAGGCAAGTTCTGAACAAGTAGAATAAAGTCTATTTTTCACAAAAAATGTTAAACTTTTTTTTGTGTGTGTAGATTCAGGCTATATACCTGTGGTCCATTCTGTACACTTTGAGGGTTCCCAGAGAGAAGCCTGCATACCCTCTTACAGATCCCGTTTTTAAGTAAACTAAAATGTCAGAAAATTTTTTCCTTCTTCTGACTACACCTGAAAATCATGTCCTCTCTTGGTCTGGTCTCTCTGGAAGATAGTATCTGGACAGGGATAGCTGTCTGTCTTCTGCAAATGGCCTTTCCCCTTGAAGGCCAACCCCAGACTCCCTCTCCTGGCAACAGTTTGCCATTTCTTGTTTCTTTGGCTTATATTTTCCTCCTTACAAACAGTGCTCAATCAGTTTTCTGGGATGATTACATTTTGTTTTCTGGTTGGCAGTTTATCACTTTGAAATTTCAACTTACAATGTCGCTTACTAATTCAAGAATTACTAACATGTAAAATATGAATAGGTATTAGACATTGAAAAGGGATTTAAATTTCCTGATCAGATGAAAATATCCTGTCCCAAACTTCATTAGCATTTTATTATGACCAGAGTGCTAAAAGCCCTTCATTAATGTTTGGGCCATGCATTCTCTCATCAAGATTTCACCACGAGTACACTATTACTGTGCACCATGCTAACTAGTCATAGTCAAGGCATACTTGCAGTGCAATAGAAAACTATAAAAGGAGAGAACTGCTTATCACTTGGTATGCTGGATCCAGTGCATTAGAAATAGGTTATTTTCCTAATTACCATATGACTGGGAAAATGCTGTTCGAAATTAGCTGTGAAACACCAATATTGCTATTTTGATTTTCTAATATCAAAGCACACTATCATCTTAATCTGTTTTACATAATTCCACTTTTATTTGTTAAGCAATTATTAGTTAGAATATCAAACACTTTGGCTGCTTGCTGCTTTCTTTTATAAGCAACTTCACTGAGGTATAACTCATATGCCATAAATTCACCTGCCATAATTATATAATTCAGTAATTTTTAGTAAATGTATCTAATTGTGCAACCATCATAATGCAATTTTAGAATATTGGTATCACTCTAAAAGGTCTCCTTGTGCACATTGCTAGCCCTAGTCACCACTAATATTTTGGTTACTATAAATTTGTCTTTTCTGGGCAATTCATATAAACAGAATCATATCATATACAGTCTTTTTTGTCTGGCTTCTCTCACTTAGCATAATGTTGAGGATCATCCAGGTGATAGCATGGGTCAGTACTCAATCCTTTTCACCCGAATAGTATTTGACTGTATGGATACACCACTCCTGCTAACCAATTAGTGGCCATTTGCTGGTTTGTATGGTGAATTTATGTTTAAACTGTTAAAAAACTGTCAAACTGTATCCAAAATAACTTCATCATTTAATAATCCTACCAGGGATGAATGAAAGTTCCAACATCTTCATGTCCTTGCTAATATTTTCTACTTTCTGTCTTTTTTATTATAGCCTATGATACTATTTTACTTTAAATACAATTTGATATATATGGGGATTTTGATATCATTTCATAAGCACTCTAAATGTAACTAGAAATACTAAACAGTGCTAGATAACTAAAGTTGAACACTACTGTTGTATGGGCCAGAAAACCTTTGGGGAGGTTTCCAGAAGGTAGACAGAAAGAGGTCTGATGGGGGACTCGGGATTGAGGGAAAGTGTTTTGTTGTTGTTGATTTGGTGGGGGGGTTGTTTTGTGGAAGAGATGAGCATTTCTAAAAGCCAAGGGAATGACCCAGACGAAAGGGAGGGCTTATGATTGCCAAAAGAATGATGATTTCTAGCATAAAATCCCCGAGGAGTCAGGCTGGGAGTGAAACCAAAATTTGCGTAGAAGACTTAGCCTTACATATGAAAGGACAAGCACTTCTCTTGTAGCCAGAGCAAGAAGAGCAGGCAGTACAGAGATGTAGGCATATTTATATAGAGGCGGGGAAATGAGACATGTCCTGTCCCCCACCGCCTATTTTCTTTGTAAAATGGGAGGTGGGACATTAGGTATTTGGTGGGGGGTGGCTGGGGTGTCGGATCTCTGAGGCTGAGACGGCAGTGCAGATAGCAGGAGAGGTGCTGACCTGGGGAGACATCCAGGGCTTCACTGTAGTGGGTGAACTTGTAGTGGAATCAACCTGCCTGTGTGGGGACTTTTTTCCAGGCAGTTCAGAGGCTCACCTAGAAATTAGGGCTCATCCGGGGTCAAAGTTTTGTCTGTCAGGTGTGAAAAAATTCAAAATGGCAAGGTAGTGTAGGGTATTGTTACACATATTTAAACATTACAGACCATGGAATCTACAGTGGATGAAATGGGAAATGAGAAGAAGAGAGGACGGACAGATTAAGAACTGGGAGAAAGCAGTGAGATCAGCGGGGTAGATGTCCCCATGAGGCCCCACAAGGGAGGGAAAACAGTCGTGGTGAGAGCAGTATGTCAGCTGCCCATGTGGCTATGATATCATTGATGTAGCTGTCAGGAGAATGAGGTCATAATAAAGCATGGAGAGCACACTGTGTAACCTCAGGAAGCTACCCGCCTGTACTGTAATGTAAATGCCATCCCTTAGAGTTGTGCAACGGGATGGCCCTCTTAGAAACCTTTATACTATAACTACAAGTCAAACAATGGCAGAAGATATCCAAAATGCCATCCATTCCCACGTTAGTACACAAAGAACTGTCTGATCCTAAAAAGGCATATGAAAATATGTGCAGTGTCCCATCAACTTGCACAGTTCTTGGATTTAGGCAAGAAGGCATTTCCATTCTCAGGAACCAAAGAAATGCAACATGTAATCCAGCGCTCACCTTATAGGGGAGCTGCAGCCATCAGGGAGTACAATGAAGAATTGTTGAGTGTGGGTAACTTGAGCCGAACAATTCAATGTGACTGTCTCCTTTGAGTAAAGGAGGTTTTGACATAGCAATTATAAATAAGGCTTAGTGCATCCCATTAT